TAACATATTAAGAGGCTCATCCCTGGGAAGACATTTCCCTCTCTGAGCAGCCATTAATTTCCTGTAGTTTACCTGGTATGGTAGTGCACAACTTCGATCTCAAAAAATAAAAATAAAAAAAATTGACACACTTTTGACTAAACTGGTTTAAAGAAAGAAAGAAGACCCAAATTAAAATGAAATGTTCCTGTAGTTCTTCATCTAGGCAGGGCCTTGTGTGATTTCCCTCACCAGTTGGCACATCAACTGGTATTGTCAATATGCAGGTCTTGTTTAGGTGGCCATGTTTTTTAGATTTCATAGGGTCCACTTCCCTGTCATATACAGAAGACACACCGCACAGCAGACATCCTGGCCCTCTGGATCTTACATCTATCCACTATGTTCCCTGAGCCTTGGGTATCGGGATTGTGTTACAAATGTTGGTCACCCCCCACCCACTCCCCGTCAGTTCTGCATTTTGACCAGTTGTGGATTCCTGTAATGGTCCCCATGTGTTGAACCATCCCTGAATCTCAGAGATAAAGCCAACTTGATCACGATAAATGATCTTTTCGAAAAACACCTGTACTCAGTTTGCAAGTATTTTATTAAGGATTTTTGCATCTATGTTCATCAGGGAATTGGCTGTAGTTCTCTCGTTCTCTCTCTCTCTCTCTCTCTCTCTCTCTCTCTCTCTCTCTCTCTCGTGCCTGGTTTTGTTACTAAAGTAAAATGGATGTTGTTTCTTTCAGTTCAGAAAACTGTGTCCAGAGTTGGAATAGCAGCAACAAGCTCATGCTTCAGGACTCTAAATTCTGAATAAAGTTTCACCCTACCAACATATAAGCTGATTTGATTCTCTGGTTGTGTAAAATAGACGTAGCAATCAATAGTCTTTGTAAAACACTTCAGAAATGTCTGGTGTATTTAAAATGTTAGCTAAAATAGTATGAAAAGTCCAACAAAGGCATATTTTCCAAACAGTTTTTGTGGGACCCAGAGCGGCAGCTGAAGTTCTAAAGCTTGTCTTTTTCTGCAATATAACCTGTGTTAGAAGAAGCAACTGTGTACCTGATTGAGTCAGGGAAGTTGAAGTGATGAAACCCGCCAGCAACAATGTGTCAAATGAGTAGTAGAAAGCTGGTTGAAAATTTAAACCCCTTTTTACTGGTTAATCTCCAACTGCTAAAGACAAACAAAAAGCAAAATTAACATGATTGTAAACCGAGCACTGTGTCCTGTGGCTCCATTTCAGGCCTGCTGAGAAAGAATGGATTGATCAAAGCAAGCGAGCTCACTTAGAACTGTGGAGCTGGGGCTGTCCGGCAGCGCACAGGCAGCGGCCATTATCCAGCCTGTTTCCAGGAACAGGTGAGCACCATAATTAATCTCAGCTTTCATTTGGAGAGAAGCAAGAAATCAATCCCCTTCCCCCATCCCCTGAAGTTATATGCCAATCCCCTGAGTTCTGGGGGAACGTTTTTAAATTGCTGTAAAGACTTTCCCCCTCCTTCCAAGCACGTGGAGGGGATGCTGCATTCCCTAACTTGAAGACTTCTCCCTGGAAAGCTGTTGATTGCTATCTTGGTTTGTTTGCTGCATCTCACACCTCAACTTAGAGAGTAAAGCCTCTGCTAAAGAAGCTAGATTTGGTTCTGTAGGCCTTGAACACTATGTAAATAAGGAGGACATGGAACTCCTGATCCTCCTGCCTCTACCTCCTAAGTGCTGGAATTATGCCCGATGCTAGCAAGTTTTTTTTAATTAAAAAAAATTATTCAGAGACCCCTGGAACCTCGCCTCACAAGCGTAGACCATGCAAACCCAAAGATTTGTTATTGGAGATCCTTTCAAGAGGAAAGTCTTAAACACCAGGCTTTTAAGGGCTGGCAAGATGCCACAGCAGGTAAAAGTGTTTGCCTGGTAACCTGAGTTCTATTTCTGGAACCAACTTCAAGTCGGAAGGAGAGACACCACACATGGACACACACAAATAATAAGTCAATTTTCTTCTCATTTTTTCATATTTGCATTATTTTCTATAGATATTTTTTAATCAATGGAGGCAAGAGAGACGGCTCAGTGGTTTAAAGCACAACCTGTCAGAGAAGGATTCCTAGCATCTGCATCAGACAGTTCACAACCACCTAGAACTCCAATTCCAGGGCTCCAGGCTTTCCCCAAGGGCTCCCGCACACGTGTGTGTGTGTGTGTGTGTGTGTGTGTGTGTGTGTGTGTGTGTGTGTGTGTATCCTCACACAGACACACATGCATACACATAGAAAAGGTACATCTAGCCGGGCGGTGGTGGCGCATGCCTTTAATCCCAGCACTCTGGGAGGCAGAGCCAGGGGGATCTCTGTGAGTTGGAGGCCAGCCTGGGTCACAGAGTGAGTTCCAGGAAAGGCACAAAGCTACACAGAGAAACCCTGTCTCGAAAAATAAAACAAAACAAAACAAAAAAAAAGAAGAAAAGAAAAAGAAAAAGAAAAGGTACATCTAAAAAACAAAACCAAAAGGCTCTTGAATTGTTCAAATTATGTATATTCTAGGTACAGGGAAGTAAATGGATACCTGTCCTGCTCCCTTCTCTGCACCAACTTGACTTTAAAAAAAAGCTGCAAATTGTGTAAACAAAGCACAGCTGTCCCCTTAGTATCCTAAGGTAAAAGGAGCTCCTTTCAGGGTCTCTCACTGGTTCCAACACTAACAGGTTCAAGTCCCTTCTATAAAATGACACTACAATTGCATATAACCTACGAACATCATCCCATAGATTTTAAACTATCTATAGATTAATTATGATGCCTAAAGCAATGTAAAATGCTGTATAAATAGGAAATGATGACCAAGAAAAAAGTCTAACATTGCATACAACCTATAGACATCCTCCTACACTTTAAATAATCTCTAGATTATTTATAGTACCTTGAACAATAGTGGCACATAACTTTAATCCCAGCACTCAGCAGGCAGAGACAGGCAGGCAGATCTCTCTGAGTTCAAGGTCAGCCTGGTCTACAGAGATCCAGGACAGCCAGGGCTACACAGAGAAACCCTGTCTCAGAAACAACAACAACAACAAAAACCTAGTTTAGAAAATAACAAAGGAAAAAATGTGTTCATCCTCTGTATAGATAGAATTTTATCTAGAACATTTTAACTATGAGGTTGGTTGATTCTGAAGATACAGTCTGTGGCTATGAGGCTTGACTACAGCTGCACCAGCCACAGAGATGTTACACTAGAAACCCAGGGATTTATGCTAAAATGCAGTGCTGGATTAACTGGGCAGCAGAATAAAACTAAACCACAGACGGCAACCTTTCTTCTTTGAGGAGACAATAAATTGTAGGTGTAGGCAGGCGATGCTGGAAGGTGTCCTCCACCTTTCTCAGTGAAGAACAAGCAAAGCCACTTGGTCACAGTAGATGAAGGAAAGAGGGCTGAGGGGCTTTTTAGAATCGCAAGGCTTGGATGTCACTCCTGAGTCTCTCAATGGTGACTGAATGTGGTGATATTATGGTTGTGTAGCAAAGTGTTCTTATTAGATATGCATATCAAAATACTTTGAAAAGTTTAAAGTTGGGACTATTATTAGGGCTCAGTAGATAAAGATGTTCACTGCCAAAGCCAAGGAACTGATTTTGATTCTTGAGACCCACATGGTGGAAAGGGAGAACAGACTCCCGGTAGTTATCCTCTGACTCCCACACGCAGGCTAAAATAAATGTAATTAATTTTTTTAAGAAGAAAAAGTCCAAGGTTAAGCAAAACATTTATTTTAAAGTTCTAGAGGTCACAGAGCTAGCAAATAGCAAACGTGGGTCTACTTTGAGCCAAATCCCACTCTAGCTACCACTCAATACCTCCGGTGTAGATTTTGTCTTCTCTTCATCACCTACTGAAATCTCTACTCTTCAAATCCTGCTAATTTATACAGCATCCCCTCTTTTAGGAAGCTACTGGTGACTTTTCCACCATGTATAGGTGGCCCTCTTTTGATCCCCTCATGACAACTGAACCCCATCAATAGTCTGTGTATATTTGTTCTCATCCACTAGACAGTAAACTCTTTAAGGTAGGGAATCTAGTTTCTACAGTGTGTGACACATACTTCTGCAGCAGAGAAATATCATTCACATCTGGTTTTTCTCCACCTTCTTTTGGAGAAATTCTGAACTTGATGAGGTCAAATAACACGTCTTTTATGCATCAGAAATAAACTGGAGCATGACAAACCAACAGACCAGATTTTCAATACATATTTTAAATCAATAAATGAATAATCCCTCCTTTCCTGTGACCGAGTCACTTTCCCCAAACAAGCAGGCTTAACTCCAGAGGAAAAAGACTTATGGTTTGAAATTACTTTTATCCTTTATCATTTTAAAATTGGTAACTGTCTCCCTCATTTTCATCCTCATAATCACAAAGAACATGATTTTTCCTATTGGAAAATGTGAGATTTTGTGTGTGTGTTGGGGGGATGTCTTGGATTTACCCTTTGGCTAACTGGTAGCAATAATGTTCAGCCTCTCAGCTAAATGCTAAAAAGCCGTAAATCGGGACTTGGATTTATGTGGCACTGCGAGGAAGGGAACAAGCTAGACTAATTTATTTATAAGCTTTCTTCCCTGAAATGATTGTGTTAAAGTCTCACATTCTTGGGTGTGACGCTCTGGCGACAAAATCTTCGCAACGTGTACTGATTACGTCTATGACTTAAAGATGTGGGTTAAAACGGTGTTAGGGAAAGCGGTGGTCTTTTCTAGATGCTTTCGTTGCAGAAACAAGGAAAAACTGACAAATAATCTTCCTAGAGGTTTGGCCGGATTGACAGTCCCACGGAGAGGGACGACCCGACGCTCTGACAGATGCGTTTGCAGCTGGAGCGCACACTTGAGGTGCCCAGGAGCCGGGAGCCGGGAGCCCGGAGCCCGGAGCCCGAGGCTGGGGGCGTGGCCGAGGGCGGGCCCGCGACTCCAGGGGCGGGGCCGCAGAGGGCGAGAGGCAGCCTGGGAAGCAGCGCCATATTGGCGGCGGCCGCGCTGTATTGTCATAAATAGAGCCGGTTTTGTGGTGTTTTCACTACTCGGTTGACTGCCTCGGCCGTAGTGAGTGGGGAAGTGAGCGAGCAAGCGAGCTACAAGCGAGCGGAGGGAAGTGGACAGAGGAAGGAAGAGAGGGCAAGAACAGGACCCCAGAGCGAAAGGCACTCGCTGGAGGGAGACGCAGGAAGCGATGAAAGAGATGTCTGCGTAAGTGGGGGCGGCGGTTGAGGGCGAGGTGGAGAGAGGTGCCCGAGGTGGGCAGCCCCGAGCTTGCAGCCCCGCGCCCCCACCCTGCGCAGCCGGCCGGGACGGCTGCTTGCCGCTGCCCGCCGCTCGGCAAGGGCACCTCCCCTCCCCGCGGCTCACCTGGCCGCCCCGCGGGGACTCGGGACCGCCGGCAGCCCCCCGCCGCCCGCCTGAGGACGCCCCCAGACCAGGATGAGGGGGAGAGGCGCGTGTGGCTGAGGAGAAGAACGGTCGGTCCCTCTGCTGCCCCAGCCCTGTCCGAGCCCGTCTGCTCCTGTCTGCATTGGCGCAAATACCATCCCTCTGCCTCCCCCTCCTCCCCGCTGGACCCGCCGTCTTCAGGTCTTCCCGAGGGAATGACCCAGCCCAGCCCGCAGGTTTGGGGTTGCTCGCTCTCCGAGAAGGGGTAACCCCCTGCCCCGTTCCTTCCCACAGACCCACAGTGTCTACCGGGCTGGATCCCCTGCTCACACTTTGATAAGTCAGAAGCCGTTTCCGTACTTGCCAAGAATTTATTAGAGCTTCTTACGTTTCACTTTATCAGGAAATGATTTAAACATACAGAAAAATGCACAGAAAAACAACACACACACAAAAAAAAGCCCATTTGGGTAGCCACCACCCATTTCTCCCAAAGAATAACACGGGGTGTGTTCTTACCTCTTTAATCTTCTTTCTTTAAAAGAAGTCAAGCATTCCAATACATCTGAAGGACTCGCCTATCCCTGCTCTGATTCCGTTCATGTCGCTCTTCCAAGGCCCCAAAGTACTGAATTTGGGGGTTATTGTTGCTGCATTTTTAATGTTAATAATACATATTCTTGTGTCCATAACCCATTGTACTTGTTTTAAACTGTTTATAAGTATCATCACAGGTACTACTCTGCAGCCTGATTCTTTAGAACATGTTCTCTCTGACCTTTATCTTATTATTTTCATTTCTAATTAATTCTTATTAATTAATGTATTCCATTTATAAATACACCCCAGTGCAGTCCTTTTAGGACTATTTTAGGCTATTTAAAAGTTTTGGTTTTTTTTTTTTTACAGACTGTCAGTGAACATTCTATTTACATATCTTGTGTACCTGCAGTAAAAGTTTTGTAAGTGAAGTTGATAGGTTGAAGGTTATGTGGGGGTATGTCGTTTACTTCCCCATTGTCCCACAAGAGAGGTTCAGAACCCTAGATTTTGAATTTGGAGCTCAGTAGATTGCTAGGTAGCCAACTTTTTGAGGATTCAAGTAAAGTGCAACAAGGAATTATATTGTCAGAGCTGAAGAATTTATGAAGGGGAGAATGGAGAGGTGGGGAAGAGATTGAGACCTACCTCTCAAGAGTTGTTGGGATTGATTGTGTGAGAATCTGTCTGTGTCATGTATTTATCATACACAAACATACCCAAACACCTTTATCTTTCTTAGATATAAGAAACCCAGATCTTTAGGGAGAAATACAACTTGAAATAATTAATTGAAGTTTTGTTTGTTCTACAGCAAGATGGAAATGGGGGAGAAATTAAAGATGGTTTTGACACTCCCTTATTTTTCATTAAGTCATTTCAAAGGTATATAGGCTGTTTGTTGAGATGAGGTTTTGAGCAGCCCAGACTGGCCATGAACTTGTTTCTGCTTCAACCTCTGGACTGCTGGGATTGAGCCCTGTGCCACCAAACCTGGCTAAGCTGTTTTACCGTCTATATTATCCTTTCTTTCTTCCTATCTAATAAACTCTCCAGCTGAAGAACATGTCTTAGTTTGTAGACTCACTAATAATAAGGCACTGTTGTTTCATTTGTTTTTGGTGCAGAGATGGAACTCAGGGCCCTACACATGCTAGATAAACACTAAGCTGTGTCTCCAGCCCCACGCCAATGTTTTAAGCAGTTAGTGCAAAAAGAATTAAACACTGTTGTATTTTGTGGTGTTTAAATTTTTAAATGGACACATTTGTGCATAATTTATATAATGATCAATTTAAAGTAATTGGCATGTCTGTTACATTTGCTGATCATTATGTAAACATGTACAGTGCAATTAATTATTAATCACAGTTGCCCTGCTGGGTTATAGAATATTAGAAATTAATCCTAGAACCATGCATAGTGGCACACACCTTTAATCCCAGCCCCATGGGGCAGAGGCAGGCGGATCTCTAAATTGGAGGCCAGCCTGGTTTACATAGTGAGTTTCAGGACAGTCAGAGATACATAATGAGACTCTATCTCAAAAAAGAAAGGAATCCTAGGGTCCAATTACACCTTTTTTTGGTGAAAAGGTGTTGTTATGTAGCCTAGGCTTTGAACTCAGATTCTTCTGCTTCAGCTTTCTGAATGAAGGGATGGAGGGACTGTGGCTGTCCCATTAATTAACCTCCCTCTTTTCTTCCTCTGTTATTTTTTAAAAGGCTAATTTACTAAAGTTAAAAGACTGTTTTTTATTTTGGGATGATATTCTTACTGTTATGAATAGTTCTTTATGAAAGTATGAAGAAAAGTGGTTATCAGGTTAGAGTATATGCTCATTGTTACTTTTGCAACAAAGTTTACTTCACATCTTTTAGTCATAGATGTAGTCAGAAATCTGTGGTACTTTATTCAAGATTGTGATTTCCTACTGGTTAAGGTCTATTAAGAGTCATTGTATTCTTTAAAATGTTGCTATTTAGTGTAAAGAATTCAACAATTATTCAGTGTGAAAATGTATGAGTTTCAATCTAAAATGAAGAGAATATTAACTAGTCACAAAATATTAGAGCTATAAATTCTGATGCAAGTAAAAGGTAAGTTTGTTAGTGTAGATTTCCCAAGGACTAGCCTAGTTGTGATTTCTTTTTAAGGTTAGAGTATGTCCTAAGGACTTTATGATGGACTGTTTTGTTCCTTTACTTGTTCAAAAACCGTTGTTTTTACAAGAGTGTCTTTCAAGTGTTTGACTGTTTTCCAAAGACTATAATCTAGATGGTACTTGACTCGGTCTGCAGGGTATAGTGGAGGTAGCCCTGGCACTGGTCCCATTCAGGCTTTTTGCATTTGAACTGAGTGGTGTTGATACAGTTGTCCTGATGCCAGCACATACTGCTTTGGGCTTGAAAAGACAACCATGAAAGCTGAAGGCTGTGTGAAAAGCCCTACATAAAGACCAAATACCCACCTTTTCCTTTTTTTTTAAAGTGGCTTCTTTGGTAATGTTCAATAAACTTTTAAGGTAGTTCAAATAACCTAAGTGGATTAAGAGGTTTAGTGTATTGGTATGAAACAATACTTTAAAAATTGTTTCCTCTTTTTCTTTTTTCTTGAACAGAAATACTATGCTGGACAGCCAGCGTCAACAAAAGCATTATGGAATTACCTCTCCAATTAGTTTGGCATGTCCTAAAGAAATTGATCATATTTATACACAGAAATTAATTGATGCTATGAAACCATTTGGAGTATTTGAAGATGAAGAAGAATTGAACCACAGGTATGTCATTGAAACTATAAAATATTTTTACAGTATGCTATTTAGTCATTTAACTCATACATATTGAATGCTTAATGATCCCTGCCTACGTGTATAAAAATGCCCAAAAAGAAAACTCTTGGCTCTCTTGGAACTTAAAGTTTTAATAGGCATTAGGAAAGGAGACTAACAACTAGTCAAGTAAGTAATTACGGTGTTATATATGGTAAGTACTGGTGGGAAAAATAAGTTTAAGGGTAGAAGTCTTTAGAGAAGACCTTGTTGAAAACCACTGAAGGAAAACTACAGTTGAGGAAGGGAGCCATGTGGATGTTTGAAGGAAGTGTGTTCTGGCGGAAAGCCTAAGGTGAATGTGTAGTTGGTGTATTTGAGGAGTAGATAAGCAAAAGATCTTGGGTGTCTAAAGCAGAGCAAGTAAATGGGAGAAGTTAAGACAGAGAAAATGCATTAGGAAGGAACTTAGGAGGAGGGCACTTTGTAAGCCAGTGTTAAATGTTTGGAAATTGAAGCCTATCTTGGTTTTGAGTAGAAGATTGGCATGATCTGACTCATGTTTTAACAGTTACTGCAGCGATGGTGTTGGGAATAGTCTCTAAAGGGTGGCAGGAGTAGGGGGCAAGAGCAGAAGCAGAGAGACTCGTTCAAAGGACATTATAATAACCCAGGTTAGAAATAATCCCTGAAACCTGAGTGTAGCAATAGAAATATGTAGTCTCATCTAGATGTATTAAAGGTAGGGTTATTTAATGATAAATAGAGACAGTTTCCAAAGATGACTCTAAGATTTTCAGTCCCTGCATCTTACTGGATGAAGTCCATTTTGAGGGGAAGACTGAGAAGGAAGCAAGTTTATAGGGATCAGAAGATAATTTGCCATGTACTTATAGGATGCCTACAATCATTTTTTTTTAATGTGGATGTTTATGCCATTGGTTTTAAATTTAATAATACCAAACTGCATTAGTTAAGTACTATTTCATAAAAAGTAGCCAATAATTAACTTACCTATTTTAATTACACAAAAAACCATGAGTACTAGTGAGAGAGAATGCTAGTCTCTAGTACCACACTGCATTGATATAATTCTATAATAAGGCAGAGTTGACAGTTCAGTTTACCTCTGTAGCCTCATTGAAGGTAACTTTGTGATTTATATTAGGTTTTTTAATTTTTGAAGACAACTCAAAGACCAAAATATCACATTTATCATGTCTGGCATTCTTAGATCTCTCAGGTTTGCTGTGTATCAACAGATGTGGTAGCATTAGCACATATATAATATGGATTTAATGTGGTATCATTACAAAATTTCTACCTGTGTGTTTATTTCTTTTATATTGTTTAGTTTTGGTTTTGTCTTAAAGTGTAAATCTAAAAATTCTCATCTTTTATTATAGGCTGGTTGTTCTTGGTAAATTGAACAATTTGGTAAAAGAATGGATTTCTGACATCAGTGAAAGTAAGGTAAGATTAAAACTGTATAGAATTCAATGTTTCATATTTTAGCCATTCATCCTAGCAATGCTGTGTAAGAATCAGATTACCTGAAATACTTTAGCATCTGTATTTGTGTTGAGTATTAATTTTATACAATATATGGATGTGTACTTTTGGATCTTTTGGAAAGATTCTTTTTGCTTTGTTTGCAAAGGACAGTTGTCTTTTTCTTTGTTGGGATTGTCCTTTTGCAGAACAGTAGTAGTAATGTGCCAGGTTGTGAGCAAATGAAATAAAGGTTTAATCCATTGGTTTTTACTTTCATATCTTACAACTATGTCAAAATCTTTATGTAAGTATTTCATTTTAAATGGATATTGTAATTTTGTAGCTCTCCATTTTGATTCACAATAAGTTAGCCGCTAGCTTCCATATTGAACAACAGTAACAACAAAAACCAGGCTCTCTGACATATTTGGGAATAAAGTGGTCTAGACAACTGAATTTCTAAATAAATAAGGTTTTACCCCAGAGATAGCCAAGTGTAGCCACAAGTCTATAAAAACGTCTAGTTTGACTTACATGCCCTGGGGTAGAATTTTTAGTTTGAGGAGATTTTACTTAAAAAAACAAACTTGAAACTTCTTACAGAGTGTCCCAGCTGGCAGCACCGGGCTTGCTTTTAAGCACAGGACAGAGAGGTCTGAATGAGATTAGGTTCCTGCTCTCTGGTGCCTCGTAGCCTCACTCTCTCTCTCTTTCTGACTTGGTGACTGCCATTTATTAGTTTCTGTGTTTCTCATGTGGAATTCTCTTACTGCACTTGCTTGGCCCATCAGACATCAAAGTTTGCAATCTTTCTGCCTCTTTAGAGGGTTTTGGATTCTGAATCATCCCCCACCCCCACCCCCACACCTGACAAGGTTTCTTGGTGTAGCCTTGGCTGTTCTGGAACTCCCTCTGTAGACCAGGCTGGCCTCAAACTCACAGAGATCTACCTGCCTCTGTCTCTTGCGTGCTGAAGTCAAAGGTGTGCACCACTGCTGCCTGGCTATGAATTTCTTTTATATTATGAATATTTTACTGGCTGTACTAAGATGAGATAGGGCATGTTCAACTAGGTGGTAAAAGTTTTTATTAGCTGGCTTCTTGTCACTATACCTAATTAATGAGATAGACTATTTAGGAAGAAAAGATTAAGTTAGCATACAGTTTTGGAGGTTCAGATCCAAGTTCAGACAACCCTAGAATTTTGAGCTAGTGGTGGTGGTGGGAGGCAGGGGGCAGCAGATGGCAGTCACAGAAGCGGAATGAATGTCAGAACAAGTGTTTCACTCCGACTAGCAAGCAGTCAGTGGCATCCTACGTAATCTCTTTTGAGGGCACACTCCGTGACCTAAGAACCTCTACGGCCCAGTCAGCCCAGCCTCCTTAAGGGCCTTCCTGCCTGCCAATACTGCCAGGAACACCACTCAGAGTAAACCATTAGTCCAGTCACCAAATGACCCTGTCTCTTGACATTTAAGTGTTTTTGTTTGTTCGTATAGTATTCTCATCTCTTCCCTTAACGGTACTCAGTTTAATGTGAATATTTCAGTGTATTTACTTATCAAGTCCTTTCTGCCCTGTAATCTACATGGATTTAGAAATTTTCTGTTAGTATTCTCATTTATTTTATACTTCGGATAAATTTGTAGGGTTGGTTCTTTTAGAATAAGGTAATGAGCTTCTAAAGACTTAAGACTTTAGTCATTAAATTTAATCTAATCTTTGTTATTTACTTTTGTGGCCAAAAGGGTATCGGGCTCATTTCTGATGTCTCAAGGAGGGTTATATCAGTAGCTAAAGTTGTTAGATAAGGTGATATTCTGGTCATGAATAATCAAAAAGTCAATTTTAACATCTATTCAGTAGATAAAGTAACTAGTCATTATATCAGTATTATACTTTCATTTATGTATATTTTTATTTGGGAAATAAATAACTGAAGGATTTGAACTAAGTCAAAGATGATTTGAATGTTGTTGCCATACTCTAGTCTAAACCACAGATAAAATAATGTTAGTTAAGGTCTGTGGCTGTATAAAAATACTTTATCCTGTAATTCAGCGTGTCACTTTCTCATAGAAATGCAGAGATCGACCTTTCCCTTTTTTTTGGGGCGCTGTCTCACTATGTCACCCCGACTGTTACAGAACTCTCTACTGCAGACAAGGCGGGCCATAAACTCAGAGATGCCTTCCTGCCGCCTTCCAGTGCTGGGTATTCACCACCATACCCAGCAAGGATTATCTTTTTTTTTTTTTTTTTTTTTAACATAGAAAAGTAAAACGAAAATTTTTTAAATGTCCTGGTTTACTTAGCCTTTGTATTTACTGTAAGTCATTAATAAATTTATTGACTCCTTTCTAGCTAGTTGTGAGATTCTTGAAACATTAATATGCACTAAACAGAAAATAGCTGTGTCGTCTTGTACAGATAATTTTATTCGGGTTAGTCACTTGTATTCTGGAACTATGGATGACGAACAGTAGCGGACCCAATTCTCACCTCTGACAAATTTAATTAGAGTTGAAGAGCTGGAAGTTACTTATTAAAAATATGTCTCTGGAAAGAGAACTCAGTTGATAGAGTACTTGCCACACTAGCATGAGAACCTGAGTTCAGATCCCCAGAACCTGACTTAACAAAGGAGTGTGTCTCTGGAAAGAGAACTCAGTTGATAGAGTACTTGCCACACTAGCATGAGAACCTGAGTTCAGATCCCCAGAACCTGACTTAACAAAGGAGTGTGCACCATACTCCTGTAACCTCAGTGCTTACGAAAAATGAGCAAGGCAAGCTGGATGTGGTGGTGCAGGCCTGTAATCCCAGCACTTGGGAGGTGAGACTGCAAGACTAGCAGCTCATTGGAGCCAGTTGGGCTACGAGGAACCCTGTCTCAAACAAACACGAAAAACTCGCCCATAAATAATGAAACAGAAGACTATCTGGTTTTTAGCATTGGAAGAACATTTAAGACAGATACTAAGTAGATCAGAGTACAAGTGAAAATACCTGAGAAGAAGCAGTTGGAGTTAGCTCTGAGAGAAGTTAAAAAGTAGCAGTTTTGTTTGTTTTTTTCGAGACAGGGTCTCTCTGTGTAGCCCTGGCTGTCCTGGAACTCGCTCTGTAGACCAGGCTGGTCTCGAACTCACAGATCTGCCTGCCTCTGCCTCCTGAGTGCTGGGATTAAAGGCGTGAGCCACCACCAGGCTGAGAAAAAGTAGCTTTTTATGATACAATTAAAGAAATTAAATTGAAGTCTTTCCATTATCTCTTGTAAGATGCTCCCATCAAGAATGACCTCATTCTTGAAGAAAGCTGAAAAGCTAATACCAAACAATTAAACATACTTGAATAAAAACTAAAGGGAAGATGAGTTTGACTTAGATTTTGATAGTTGAGTTAGTTCCTTAAAGGAGTGTAGTACATCAATTGTTCAGTAAAAGATTATAAACATTTAGGTGCTCTTTATGCAGAATAACTTAAATGATTGAATGCCTTTTGCTTTATTTTAGAATCTCCCACCTTCTGTTGTGGCTACTGTTGGCGGTAAAATTTTCACATTTGGATCTTACAGGCTTGGAGTACACACCAAAGGTAACTGCTGTTTAGTTACGTTCTAGTGATAAGAATTTTTAGTAAACTGTTTTAGTTGTTCACAGTTAGTGAGTACAGAACATAGTTCCCATTATCTTACTACTAAGTGTTCATAAACATTGTTAACATTATCTTATGCTCATTTTCCATACTTAGTTCTGTATTTATGTGACTTTAATGAAAATATAAGATATCCTTCTTAAGAAATCACTTTATTTCTGTAGGAGCTGATATTGATGCACTTTGTGTAGCCCCAAGACACGTGGAGAGATCAGATTTTTTTCAGTCCTTTTTTGAAAAATTGAAACATCAAGATGGCATTAGAAACTTAAGAGTAAGTATCCTTTGGCATCTAATATTTGGAGGTTAGAAACAGCTGTAAAAGCATGGACTTAGGATTGTTGACAGACCTAAGTTGCTGTATCTTGTTACCATCACATACAGAAATTAGGAATATGAGTTCATAGCTCTGTAGACTACTTTTATATCTAGACTACACCTGTAGTTCTTTGATCTGAGTCAAGTAGCTATCTGCCTGAGCATCAGTTTTCTCAGCTGGGGAGGGGTGGTGGGGTTGAGACAGGGCTTCTCTTTGTAGCTTTGGAGTTTATCCTGGAACTCACTCTGTAGACCAGGCTGGCCTCGAACTCACAGAGATCAGCCTGCCTCTGCCTTCCAAGTGCTGGGATTAAAGACGTGGCCCACCACCACCCAGCTGGTGATAACTTTTATGAGATATTTTTGAGGATTAATGTGATAGTAGACTCAAACCACTTGTTATAATATCTGATAAATGATTGATGTCTATCAAACTGTGGGTGATATTATGTGTAAGAATTTAGTTAATGACACCGTGTATATCTAGCCCTTCATTTAGCAACTAACATTTCCATACTGGCAATCTATATATATAAACACTGGCCTCAGTTCTACCAGTATAATATTGTATGTATGTATTTGCAAGTGTGTGGGGGTGATACACTTGTGTATTGCTTATGGAGGCCACAGGACAACTTTGAGTGTCCTTCTCAAGAACATTGTCTACTTCCTGACAGAGTCTTCATTGGCCTAGAATCCCCAGTTAGGGTAAACTTACTGGTCAGTGAGCCCCAAGGATCCTCCTGGTACCTCCCTACTGCACTGTTGTGCTCCGTATTGGGTTCTGTGGATTGAACTCAGTCCTGTGTTTGCAGGTCAGGTCCTGGACTGAGCCAGCCCCTAGCGTTCTTTTGTGATAGATTATATAATTTTAACACTAATGCTTTTTGTAGTTTTTTTAGGCATTTTGTGCACCCCATGCCCAAACTCGTTGTGTAGCCAGCAGTGACCTTGAACTTTTGAGACCCTGCTTCTCCTGAGTACCAGGGTAACAGGAGAGGGTAACCATACAGTTTACACTTAGTGCTTTCTGTAATAAATAATTTTCAATTTGGACCCCATAAATGGTACCCAGATAACAACAGTTCTGCTTTCCAGTTTCTGACAGCAGGATAAACTACATAATAGGTGCAGAGACATTTTGTGTGATCTCGTAACATAAACTATAAAAAAGAAGACCTTAACCTGCATAGTAGACCAAAAACTTTTTTTACTTTTTTTTACTGAATAAAATACAAATTAGAAGAAAAGATAAGGTATTGGCAGTTAGGAAGGCTAAAGGGCTAACCCATATGTTATTTTTGTCTTCCTTTTTATAGGCTGTAGAAGATGCCTTTGTGCCTGTTATAAAGTTTGAATTTGATGGTATTGAAGTAAGTATTTAATATGCTTTATATTTGACAATTGAAATATTTAACCTGTAAATTTTGTTTCAAAATCAAACTTGGCATTGGCATGTTTTTGTTTTGGACTTGGTTTTTGAAATAATCTATGTAACTCTAGCTGTCTTCCTGGGAGTTAAGCTTACAGGTGTGTCCCAGCTTGCCTGGCACTAACCACATAGTTTAAAGAATTAAATAGTAGTCTTTTTACCTTCTTTCCCGTTTCTCTTGACCACTCACCATGGACAGTGAACCAACCTCCATCCTCCCCTCGTGCTTTTTGTACACAACCTTCCTCATCCCGTAATCATCTAAAATAATCGCTGTGTTATAACTGTCGTTTTGAGCTGTGTTCTGTTTACATTATTCTCTTAAAAACAATTTTCAAAGCTCAGTACTGAGTACTGAATTACCGTTCCTTTGCCCTATAACATTTTTCCCCCGGGTGTTAGTGATTATGAGTTCTGTTAGTTTAGTTGTACTTTTGTCTAATTTAAACCCAGTCTCTTCTGGTTGTCAGAATCTCCGTTAAGCTAAGAGTCGTCAGCATCTTGAGAAAATGTCCCCTGAATCTTCTCATCTCTTCTCATCTCAGCCCACCGGTGCCCATCTTGGGGCACAGCTGGCATCTTGGTGTTCTCTCTAGCATCTTCCTGGAAGTTTCTATTCCTATTCTAGAATTTTCTTCTTTGTAGATGTGGTACCATTTTACTGGAGCTCATCCATTGGATTCCTGAAAAAGAATTTGTTTTCTTTTTATCTTGCATGCTTAAAAATCACTGAATTCATAATTTTGCTGAGTACGTCATACTAGGTAGGAAATGATTTTTTACATACTTTAAGACCTTCATTGCTTTATAGCTTCTGTGATGTTGAAAAATATACCATTTTTAGTCTTTCTTCTTTTTAGGTGTAACCAATTTTGTCTCATTTAGTTGTTTTGTTTTTATTTTGTCTTCACACTTGTAGAATTTATGATGATGATATGCTTTGGTGTGTGTTTTTAACTGATGTGCTTGGCATGCAATAGTCCTCTTTTAGTATGGAAACTCCTTCAGTTCTTGGAACTTTCATTGAGTTCTTTTGGATTTCCTGCCTTTGTTTACACACACGTGTCTTTTTTCATGGAATTTTAACATTTGTTTGTTGAGTCTCCAGAACAGCTTTCTATAAATATAAATAAACACACACACACACACACACACACACACACACACACACACACACAAATTCTTCTTTCTCACGTATTAACCACATCTTCATATTTTTATTCCACCTTTTTGATGTTTTCTTGTCTTTGAAGCTTTGTAATGATTTCCACTGCCCTATTTTTAATTTCTGAAAGTACTTTTTATATTTTCTAAATGTTCTTTTAAATTTGTTTGTGTATTTATTTGTAGCTACCTGTCCTGTTTCCTGACTAAAATGTTTCAGTCTGTTTTCCTAGATCTACTGGGTCTGTTGTCTTCTGTCCATCTGTTTTCTAGCTTCCATGCCTTTTGCTGCTGTTTGTTTTGTCTCATTTTCCTAGTAGGTTATGCCATAAAATCAAAACAAACTAAACCAAACATAAAGCATGTTTTTCCTAATACTTTAGTTGACTTTCAAGAGGGAGTGAATGTAAATGTGTGTTGGATCTTCCATCTTTATTTCAAGACTTAGAGTAATTGTCCCGCATTAGATCACCTTCATAGACCTTTTGATGTTTCGTTAGAATGTCTCAAACTAGTAATTGGAACTTTCTATGTTTGGAGTTGGGGCTGAGGAAAATAGAAAGTAATATTTGTCTCCTTTTTTCTTTTTCTTTCTTTTTCACCTCTTTCCAAAGATTGATCTAGTCTTTGCAAGACTGGCAATACAAACCATATCAGATAATTTAGATCTAAGAGACGACTCTCGCCTAAGAAGCCTTGATATACGGTGTATTCGCAGCTTAAATGGTAAGTTTCTAAAGAAATCTTAGATGTCTACTTGAAAACAAGTAAATAGAGCCTTTTTGCAGAATTATTAATGGACTGTTTTAAGGCTTGAACAAATTAAGAATAGTTGGAATACAGCTCAGTTTTAGAGCACAAGCTTAGTGTGTGAGAGGCCTTGGATACCATCTCAAATCCAGAAGATTTAAAGTCATAGTTTTCTTTATAAAAATAGTATGATCCTATTTAAACATCCTAAAAAGTATCATTTATTTGAAAGATTAAGTTTAGAATTGAGGTTCATAAACTTATTAGTCTCAGGAGCCCTGTAAACCTTTAACATTTATTGAGAACCCCAAAATACATTTGTTCATCTGTATTATATGTCAATATTTACCATATCATAAATAAAAATAAATGTTTCGAATATTTATAATTCACTAGAAATAAAAAACCTTTATAAATTAATAATATATTTTTTATGTCTAAAATAAATTTTGTTTTCAGATTGCTAACTGCTTCTGTAGTCAGCCTGTTATCTAATATCTTATTTTTGTTAAAATATGAAAAGAAATGGAATTACCTTGTCACATTAATGTCCAGTGATCTGACTGTTTGGAAAATGTTAGTTCACAAAGTTATTTTTATCTTCCAAATGTTTTCACAGACTTTGTTATAAAGTGGTTTTTAAATTTATTGATTAATTAATATTAGCACCAATTCTGTCATGAGAGTCTTTAAAGTATTAGAAGCTGTGAGGTTCACAATAGCAGATACAATGATTTATAACTAATATAACTTGAAAGCTTACATTTTCTTATCCACAGTAAATAGTATCATTGTTTTCCTTGAGGCAAGAAACTTACTTAGTTTATTATTCAGAGATTATCTACTGAATACCCACTATGTAATCTTGTTTATCTGCTGTTTTAATTTCAAGTAACCACTGAAATGATGACACACTTCTTTCCTTTTGTTGGTTTTTTTCTTAACTAGGATAGTAGTAAAGATACATTGTATACTTCTACACTTTGTTGCCACTGCCCTGATTGACCTCTAAGGTGACAGTACTTTTAGCCATCATTGCCATTACCCCATCAATGCAAAGTTAACAGACTGTGAAAATGACAAAGAAAGATTAGTATTCTTACAAAAATAGATTTGACTTCACAGATTATTCAGGTTTGAGAGCCACTGATTTATTATAGTCTCTTGTTTTACATCTTTGTTTTTTGTTCATTTGTTTATTTTTGATTTTTGAGACAGGGTTCTCTGGGTCTCCCTGGCTGTCCTGGAAATCACTCTGTAGACCAGACTGGCCTCCAGAGGAACTCAGATCTGCCTGCCTCTGCCTTCTGAGTGCTCACTGTAGTTTATCTAGTAAATTACACTTCTCTATGGAAAGGTTTGTATTGAAACAATAGCAGTTTAATAACTTGGAGGCATTGTGATTAAGTCAGATGTAGAAGAAACTAAAAAGGAACTCATACTCATCTCTATTTCAACACTGAATTTCATTACCCATGTACTTTCAATTCCTCAAAAGTAAAGACCTATTCACATGTGTTTCAAAATTTTAAATGCATCCTGATTTATTGTTCATACCTTTATCATTTGTTAGTTTGAAGGTTAGGAGACCACTCGAATTAACTGAGTTTTGTTCCTTAGTGAAAAATCAATGTTTTGTCTTTTTCAGGGTGTAGAGTTACGGATGAAATTTTGCATTTAGTGCCAAATAAAGAAACTTTTAGACTCACTCTAAGAGCAGTCAAATTATGGGCAAAACGTAAGTATCCCAAGTCTTTGATGGGTCTGTTCTGAAATTCTAATTTTCTGTCACCAGCAATTGAAGTACATATGAAGACTCTGGCCTTACTGATGCTGTTGAGGGTTGATGGCCAATAAACTTGTAAAAGCTGTTTCTCAGGTGTAATGGTCTATAGGTGACTTTCTGTCCTCCATGTGGAGATGGGTGTGTGTGTGTGCGTGTGTGTGTGTGTAAAGGTCCTATGTCTAGTTCTGATAGGTCATTCTGTATTATTTGTAACTGTATTGAGACACTGCTTAAGAATGGTGATATATGGTGGCAGAGGAAATGGCTCAGTAGATAGGAGCACTTGCTTCATGGGCTGAATCTGAATCTCCCACACGCATGCAAAAGGCAAGGCGTGGCTGTGTGTGCCCGTAACCACAGCCTCAGCATCATAGGGCTGGAAACAGGAAGATTCAGGCTTGCTGGCTGTTACCCTAGCTTCAGGTTCACTGAGATAAAGTTCAAAGGAATCAGGCAGGGAGAGAGGACAGCAGGACACCAGAGGCCTCCTCTGGCCTACATGTGCATGTACCTGTACACATGTGTTCATGTATACTACATACACACACACACATGATTTTTAAAAGAAAAATAATGTGATAATGGTCTGAAAAGTGAATTGTTAGGCAGTTTGTGGCCATGCAACCAAAATAGAATGTGCTCACATAAACCTGCTTGTAAACTTGAGCTCTAGAAAGCCATTGCTCCTAAAACTATATAGCCTTTTAACTGTATGAATAATGTAGGCCTTTTAAATGCAGTGCTAAGTACCTTCATGTAGAAGATACCTAAACACAGTAAGGTACAACAAAGACACACAAAAAAAGATCTGTGTGAAACAGATATGATAAATGGAATTTGCTGAACCCAAAGTTGGTTTGAGTGAGTCTGAGTGAGTAGTGAGTGACCGTAAATGTCCAGGATGTTAATGTCCACTATTGTAGACTTTATGAACACTGTATACTTTAGTCTCATTGATTTATAAAAGTCTTTTTCTTCAATAATAAATTAACCTTAGCTTACTGTAATTTTTCTTTGTAAATTTAATTTTTTAAAGCTTTTTAATTCATTTGTAATAACACAAATACAAATTGGACATGGTGGCACATGCCAATAATTTCAGGGTTCAGATGACTGAGGTTGGAGGGTCACATATTCAGGACTAGCAAAACTTTGTCTTAAAAAACAAAACTCATGTTGAGCAATAGTGGCACACTCCTTTAATCCCAGCACTCGGGAGGCAGAGGCAGGTGGATCTCTGTGAGTTTGAGGCCAGCCTGGTCTACAGAGCGAGTTCCAGGACAGGCTCCAAAGCTACACAGAGAAGCCCTGTTGGGGAAAAAAAAAACAAAACCCAGCAACAACAACAAACAAAACCCTGACAAATGCAAGCAGGAATGGTGGCTCCTGCCAATGCCCCGCTGGAACACTGAGGATGCTCCCTGGAGCACAGGAGTTAGAACCAGCCTGATTTCCAGCCCGACGTCACTATCAATTTTCTTAATGGTGTCCCCCCCCCCCCCCCCCCCCCCCCCCGTGTTTGCTCTTCTCTTACCTCTCCTTCGGCTATGCATTTTTTCATCCCCATTATAATCTGCATCATGTATGTGGTTCATTCTTGACCAACATTGGTCCGTGACCACACTGAAGCAGCGCTGGACTTGAGGCACGAGGTTTCACAGCTACAGATCTCTCCATGAAACTTTGACTGTGGAGATGTTTTATATGTCATTGTCAGAGCCAGCTAACTCTGTGCCCGATAAACACTTGAAATGTCCAACTAAAGAACTGAATCTTTCAATTTGTTTTATCTCATTGACTGTAACATTACATAATTCCCAATGGAAGGTAAAATCATGTTCATATAAACATCTTGTACATATATAGTATTAACATTCCTAATAGCCAGAGTGAACACAGTCACGTATTCATACACTGATAATGAATAAACCAACATGGTATAGCCACATTGTCAAATACTGTTTTGCAATAAAAAGGAATGCAGTAATGACAAAGGGTACAGCATATGATTGTTGACACCACTTTGTTGAGTGTGACAGAAGTTACTCAAAAGACAACATATGTATGCTTTGATTTATATGAAAATGTCCATAATAGGACAGATCTATAAAACACAGAAGGTAGATGAGTGGTCGCATAGGTCTTCAGATTCAGAGAAAGGGGTGGTATGGCTGTTAAAGGTTTCCTTTGGAGAGGAACATGTTCTAGACAGGATTATGATAGTTGTACAGCTGTGAATACACCAAAAAGCATTGAATTGTATAGTTTAAATGAATCCATCTATAGTATGTGAATTGAGGAGGCCTCAAGCAAGTGATGTTTGCCTGTGGCCTGGAATTGTCAGGATAATGTAATTTGTATTAAAAGCACAACATGAACATTTTATCTCTCCTTATAAACTAAACACTGTATTTTGTCAATTTTACGTAGTTTTTATATTTAACATGTCTAAACTGGTATTTCATAGGATTTTTTACCTCTCTATATGGGACATAAAATAATGTCATAATGTGTAATAAGGGCATGTGAAGTTTAATGAGTCTAATGTCATTGGTATATTGTTCATGTTCACAATGGAGAGGTATCCAACTTCTGTGAAATACTGAAGTTTGTTGCCAATTTTATACTACCCATGTATGTCATTTCTACTAGTGAAATGTCCTTTCTTACCGCCAGGTGTCTTTCCTTCTGTTTGTTTCTCTCTTTAACTCCAGATATTTCAAAATGGGGGAGGGGAGTTAGTAATAATTTCAGTAGCATTATCAATTGATGCACAGTCCTAATTAGTCTTAACAATAAAAAATCTGGAGACAGATATTAGGGTGAAAGCTGAAAAATCAGAGAAGCAGAGCAACCAGCCACTAGAGACTTCTTACCTCTACAAAATCTCAGACTGAATGGGTGGGTCTTCTGTCTCTACAAACCCTCAGACTGAATAGGTGGCTGAGAGTCTGTCTCCACCTGTTTTATATTCCTCTCTCCACCTCTCTAGTGCTGGAATTAAAGGCTTGAGCCTCCCAAGTGCTGGGATCAAAGGCATGAGTCTCCCAAGTGCTGGGATTAAGGGCATGAGCCTCCCAAGTGCTGGAATTAAAGGCTTGATTGAGCCTTCCAAGTGCTGGAATTAAGGGCATGAGCTTCCCAAGTGCTGGGATTAAAGGCTTGAGCCTCCCAAGTGTTGGAATTAAGGGCATGAGTCTCCCAAGTGCTGGGATTAAAGGCATGAGCCTCCCAAGTGCTAGGACTAAAGGCATGTACCACCACCTCCTGGCTCTGTTTCTCTTTTAGACTTTTTCAATCTCATGTAGCCCAGGGTGGCCTTAAACTCCTGATCTTCCTGCTTCCTCCTCCCAGGTCCTGGGATTAAAGGTGTGAGCCACTACTGTCTGGCTCCTATGGATAACTAGTGGCCAGCTCCACCTTCTGATCTCCAGGCAAGCTTTATTTGTCAGAACACAAACAAAATATCACACAGCGATCAATCAGGACAAATGACAGTGAAACAGAGAATTGAACCATTGTGCATTAGAGGATAAAGCAGAAGAGCTAGAAGGAGAAACTAGCAGTTAACTGACTGACTCAGCCTAGCGTGGCGTTCTGCTTATCATCTCTATTTTGTGTTCAGTCTTGGGGATGAATGAAGTTATCCTGTTGGACTTCAAGCATAATACATCTGAATAATAATTAACAGATTTTGTTTTCATAGGTCGTGGTATTTATTCCAATATGCTGGGATTTCTTGGTGGAGTCTCCTGGGCAATGCTGGTTGCCAGAACTTGCCAACTGTATCCAAATGCAGCAGCTTCAACTTTAGTTCACAAGTTTTTTTTAGTTTTTTCCAAATGGTAAGTATATACTTTAACTAATTGTTAACTTCTATGAATATGTTAAAAAAAAAAAAAAAGGTTGGGGATTTAGCTCAGTGGTAGAGTGCTTGCCTAGCAAGCACAAAGCCCTGGGTTCGGTCCTCAGCTCCAGAAAAAAAAAAAAAAAATTTAAGAACTATGGCCAGGCCTAGTGCCTCATACCTGTAATCCTAGCACTTGAGAGCTTTAGGCAGAATTAGTGCCGTAAATTTGAGGACAGTGGGCTCCATAATCCGTTCTAGTCAAGAGAGACCCTGTTTCAAGAAAAATAAACCTATACATATATATTGTGTTTTGCATTCATTAAAAGCTTTAAAAATATATTTAATCTGAGACAATGAAACACCCAGATGACACTCTTTCTTCTCTTTTTCTGATTTAAATATAAAAGTTGTATATATTTATGAGGTGCCCATGATATTTTGTGGGGTGTTTGTTTGATTCGGTTTTTTGAGACAGGGTTTCTCTGTAGCTTTGGAGCCTTTCCTAGAACTTGCTGTGTAGACCAGGCTGGCCTTGAACTCACAGAGATCCCCCTGCCTCTTGCACCCACCGCCCCCAGCTCTTTTGATAGGTAATCAGATCAAGGTTAGCATGTGTACTCCTGAAACCTTTATCATTTCTCTATGGTAAACACAGTCTCTTAGCTCGTTGAAGTTCAAAGTACAACTAACATTATTTGTAATCACCCTGCGGTACAACAGAACACCAAAACTTCTCTTCTCTGATTTAATATCCACTGACTGACATTCTACTATCCACTTCTCTACCCTGCTCTCCTAGTCTCTGCTAATTACTATTCTACTTTCCCCTTCTATGAGATCAACATTTTTAGATTCCTCAGATGAGTGAGATCCTGAAGGATTTTCTGTGCCTTGTCTATTTCAGTTAATGTAATGACCTCCGGTACCATCCATGTTATCACAAGTGACATAATTTTGTCTCCCCACCTCTACCAGTGTTTTGGGAAAAGGGTTTCACTTTGTAGCCCAGGCTTGTATACGATTTGCATTCCTTTTTTTATTGTATTTTATGTATATGGATGGGTGTATGTTTTACCTGCATGTGTCTGTTTACCACTTGTGTACCTGTTGCCTGTAGAGGTCAGAAGAGGGCATCAGATCCCCTGGAACAGGAGTTACAGATAATTGTGAGCCTTCCATGTGGATCCTGGGAATTGAGCCTGGGTCCTCTGGATGAGCAGTCAGTACTTGTAACCCCATTCCCCTTTTAAATAACTCAGTAAGACGGCACTTGAGGAGTTTGTGAATGTGAGCCTTAAGACTGTAATGGCCCCACAGATTTTTTGGCCTTGTACATTAAGCTGGTCTGGTAAAATGGAGATGATAATGGTAACTGCTTCATTCATGTACTAGTATTTTCAGCAAATGTTACTTATTGCTGTTATTATACTATCAGAATCAAATCTGTGAAAACGGATAAGAAGGAAGGGGCAAACTCAGGTACAGATTGCTTCCAACTAACAGAACTGTTGCCATTTCTGAGAAAGGGCAAATAAACAGATTCTTCCTCTTGTATTTTGTACTTTGCCATGTGAAGATTGGGACAGCTTGATACTTTTAATATTTCATATAGCATTGGAAGTGAGAGTCTATGTGAGTTAATGTACTTTATTCATGCTAGGGAATGGCCAAATCCTGTGCTGTTGAAGCAACCAGAAGAAAGCAACTTGAATTTGCCTGTCTGGGATCCTCGGGTATGAGAATTTACTGTAGAGAAGGGCCTTTTTCTAATCATAGTCTCACTAAGGATTATTCCTCTGCTTCCTGCATACCTTTCTAATGCAGAAATAGCTCTTTTCTTCCCTTTGCTGTGTATTTTGATGCAGGTGGTTTGAATTTCTAATATTCATCCAAATGTTATATCATTAAAAATTGCCCATATATGACCAGTAAGTGGGTATATCAAAAACAGTATCATAACCCATCGTAAAAAAAACTGTGTCACAGTAGCTACTTATAGTGAAGTACTGAAATATATAAAAATAATATTTTGCAGTACAGTTTAAAGCAGATTCATAATTCTCACATAGTTTCCATTTTAATTTTTAAATTCCAATTTAATAAGAGTAAGCACTCATTTCTCTATATAATTGAAGATAATGTCTCTGTAGTTATGATATTGTATTTCCATAATTCTGAAAGACTTGCTTATAAGATACATTATTTGATAGCTTCACTGAGGAAAAATTAATTTCTGCAGAGTTTTGACAAATATATCTGTCTTCAGAAAGAAGTGCAGTTCAGTAGAGAAATACACTCCTAGAATTGAAGGAATTTAGTATTAAATTTGTATTTCATATTCTTCAGACTTTGGGGGAAATGAAGTGAGGACTACTCAGAGGAGTAGATAATTATTCTACTTCTGATTTCACAGGTAAATCCATCAGATAGATATCATCTTATGCCCATAATTACCCCTGCCTACCCACAACAGAATTCTACGTATAATGTGTCTACATCTACTCGAACAGTAATGGTAGAAGAATTTAAACAAGGTAAACATGTTTGGCCCTATTTTTTCTTATATATTCTATTCCCAAGTTTTTGGTTAACAGTTTTATTCTACATGAGCTATGATTGGCAGTTAGAATTCTGTAACCCTTAATTCTTTGTAAAACTTCAAATGCTTTCGAAAATATATATTAAGGCCACAATTTGAGCCAGTCCAGTATAGTGAAATTTTACTTTTGTGTTCTAAGAGACAACATAATGTGTTTACATTTGTAAGTCAAGCATTTGTTTACATTTCTAAGTCAAGCATTTGTTGGGCTAGATAGTTTGGGTAGAGCTGGTCATTTTTCAAAAATTAGACTTAGTTTCTAAAAACCCTTTGTTTTTGCTTAGGTCTTGCAGTTACAGATGAAATTCTTCAAGGGAAATCAGATTGGTCCAAACTATTAGAGCCACCAAATTTCTTTCAAAAATATAGGTATTTAAACTTTGCAATTTTTGTGTATGTGTATCTAGGGAAAATGTCACCTTTTTGTCTTGTTTTTGTGGGTTTTTTTGTTTTACATGTTTATTTTGAAGGGAGATAGGTTGTATATGGCTGGGTGTGCCTGCTGTAGTGCTCACGTGAAGGACAGAGGACACCTTACAGGAGGTAGAGCTGCATGCTCTTAGGGATCAGACATAAGGCATCAGGCCTGCTGACAAGCACCTTTACCTGATAAACCATTGTGCTGGACCCGCGTTTGTTTTTTGAGACAGAGCCTCACTTTGTATTCCAAGCTGGCCTGGAACTCACTCTCTGTGTAACCCAGGCCAGCCTGGAACTCACTCTCTGTGTAACCCAACCCGGCCTGGAACTCACTCTCTGTGTAACCCAGACCGGCCTGGAACTCACTCTCTGTGTAACCCAGATCGGCCTGGAACTCACTCTGTGTAACCCAGACCGGCCTGGAACTCACTCTCTGGGTAACCCAGGCCAGCCTGGAACTCACTCTCTGTGTAACCCAGGCTGGCCTGGAACTCACTCTGTAACCCAGGCTGGCCTGGAACTCACTCTGTAACCCAGACCGGCCTGGAACTCACTCTGTGTAACCCAGACCGGCCTGGAACCTAGGGTGATTCTCCTCCCTCATTCTCACAAGTGGTAAAATTCTGTGTGTGAACCAGCACAGTCCAGTAAATGTAGAAAGCTAATTATGACAGATGACAGGTGTTACTCAGATTGCAAAGCAAGGTAGAAAATAGACTAATAGAGCTGGGCGGTGGTGGCGCACACCTTTCATCCCAGCACTCGGGAGGCAGAGCCAGGCGGATCTCTGTGAGTTCGAGGCCAACCTGGACTACCAAGTGAGTTCCAGGAAAGACGCAAAGCTACACAGAGAAACCCTGTCTCGAAAAACCCAAAAAAAAAAAAAAAAAAGAAAGAAAATAAACTAATAGAAATCCTGGCCGGGCAGTGGTGGCGCATGCCTTTAATCCCAGCACTTGGGAGGCAGAGGCAGGCGGATCTTTGTGAGTTCGAGGCCAGCCTGGTCTAGAGAGCGAGATCCAGGAAAGGCACAAAGCTGCACAGAGAAACCCTGTCTCGAAAAACCTAAAAAAAAAAAAAAAAAGAAAAAAAAAAAGAAATCCTGGTAGTAGCCAGTCCAGCATCAGTGATATTTTTTAAAGTGAGTTAATTTTTAATTGTGGGGCCTATAGTTTTGTGAAAATAAAGTATATTTTAACTTTCAGAAACTCTGTACATGTATTGTTTTGTTCATTGGGAAGAAGAAAGAAAAATGATGAAAAATCAGATTAACAATGTTTCTGGCTTTTTTTTTCTTCCTGATTATTGCTGCAAATCCTTTATAGACATTATATAGTATTGACTGCCAGTGCATCAACAGAAGAAAATCATCTAGAGTGGTAAGACTTATGTTTCAAGTTCCTTTACCCACTGTCTGATGATAACAATAGTCACATGACTTTTGGCTTTCATAATTGGTATGTTGTATTGGTGACTGTTGTCCATGAGTGCCAGGGGTTAAGAAGTCAAGTGCAGCATCGGCAGTGACAGAAGGCTTTGATGCAGATTGTACTTACTATCTTTAGAATCAGAGTGCTGTGAAATTTTGAAGAACTCTGGTGTCCCTGACGCCCAGCTTCAGCTGACTATTACTGTTCCCTCCAGAACTCAAGGGAAGACCCTTTATGCATGGTTTTAACTTCGGAGGAGGAGGCACACGTGTCAGAAGTTAAGCTTCTGTCAATAGATAGACAATAGTTTTGGTCAAGCTACTACGGTCTATCTTTGTAGTGCATCTAAATCCATCCCCTCTGCCCTCAGATACTCATTTTCATGGGTCCCCTGGGCAGAAGCTGTGCTCCCAGCTCTTCCTGCAGTCCGACTTGCTGCTTTAGGGGTTTGATTTCTGTGGTAATTTAACTTTTTATTGATGCAGAATTTAATTTGTCTAGATAAGGAATCAGTCTGCCACTTGTTAGGAGATCTTTTGGGTACACATCCTTCATTAATATGTTGTTGAGTGCTACTTCTGCTACATGGCAAAGTATATAGTTGCCCAGACACTATACAGCTAAAAAGCCTAAAAGATGTACTGTGTGGTACTAATAGAGAAGTTTACTTCTCATTTAGGAAACAGTACTCAGTAACTCAATTATACCAGCTTTTACAAGTGTTTGAAAACACTTAAAAGTGTTGTTGAAGTTATTCTGACTTACAGTCACTAAGAAATGCACAGATGACAGTCATATATCTTAAGTGAGGGGGAAGATTAAGTTGTAAAAATCTGGTGAAACCTGTATGGTTTTCTTTTTTCTTTTTATTTATTTATTTATTTATTTATTTATTTTTAAATTTTTTTTTTTTGGTTTTCCGAGACAGGGTTTCTCTGTGTAGCTTTGCGCCTTTCCTGGGACTCACTTGGTAGTCCAGGCTGGCCTCGAACTCACAGAGATCCGCCTGGCTCTGCCTCCTGAGTGCTGGGATTAAAGGCGTGCGCCACCACCGCCTGGCCAAAGGTTTTTTGTTTTTTTGTTTTTTTTGTATTTTATTTTTCAGAGCTGAGGACCGAACCCAGGGCCTTGCGCTTGCTAGGCAAGTGCTCTACCACTGAGCTAAATCCCCAACCCCCCTGTATGGTTTTCTAATATCTGATTTAAATTTAGTGACTTGAAATGCAAAATCCAGTATTTTATGAAAATCAGTATGCTTATTTCAAGAATTACGTGCCTGTGTTAGCTTTTCTTGTTGATATTATTTAAAGGTAGTTTAGCTAAGGTTTACACATAAAGATATGAAAGTAGAAATGATTGAAGATCACTACACTAAATCAGAGGTTTTGTTTTTTTAAGGGGTGAAAGCCTTAGAGATCACGGAAATAGGAAAAGCCACCAGCCAACCTCACCTCACCAACTCTGCAGCTTCCAAATGCGAGCTACTTCCTGTTTACCCACGCCTTTATATGCCTTGCTTTTCTGCCCTCTCATTGGCTCTTAGCCCAGCTCTCTCACTTCCTTGTCACTGTCTGTCTGTACAGACTTTCAGGTCTCTGTGGTTGGTACTGGGATTAAAGGCGTGTGTCACCATGCTTGGCTCTGTTCCCAATTATGGCCTTGAACACACAGAGACCCTGCCTGATAATTGATTGGATTAAGGGCATGTGCTGCCTGACTTTGTTTACTTAAAATGGCTGGCCTTTCCCCCTGATCTTTAGGCAAGCTTTATTTATCAAAGCACAAATAAAATATCACATTTCAGCACAAATAAAATATCACCACATTTCCCCTTTTTTTGTCTAATAAAATTAAATTATAGTCAGAAATGCATTCAGTTTAGATCAGTTCTTCTCTAAGCAGAAAGTCACATAAATTTGACATTTGCCTGACTGATGTTTATTTTATTATTATTATCATTATTATTGTATGTGAGAGAGTCTGCTTATGCCCCACCATGTATATGGATATCATGGGACAACCTTCAGAAGTGGTTCTCTCCTTCCACTATTGACATCAATGGCTCAAATTTGGGTGGTCAGACTTGCATGGCAAACACTTTGACCTGTCGAGACCTGTCACTACCTCAGTTGGCATTTAAAATCCTACTATAATTGGACTGCATTTTCAAGTGAACATACAAAGCTTGGTAGTTGATGTATTACTTGGTTTACTTGAGTATAGTTGTCAAATTTGATATAACTTCATAGAACTCTTGTTATTTATCTCAGGGTTGGATTAGTAGAATCTAAAATCCGTGTACTTGTTGGAAACTTGGAACGAAATGAATTTATTACTCTTGCCCATGTGAATCCTCAGTCATTCCCAGGAAATAAAGAACATCATAAAGCGTAAGTTGTCCTTAAGTAAATTTCTTAAATAATATTATTTGACATATGCATTGTTTCAGATGAGCTTTAAGACTGTCCTTAACAGACATTGATGGAGGAATGATACATGTTTTGAATATGTGTGACCGTGTATTTATTATATATTATAGAAGTACACATTGCGATAGTCAGCAAACCTCAGCAAAAACTCCATAAGTGTTTGGAACATCTTCATATGTTCAATGAGTCATTCTTCAGTACTATTTAATTTTCTTTTAAAACAATACTAAGCAACTATACCAGTGTTCTGGATATAGTTTCAAGAATTTGGCTATACCACTGAAATCTATTAATAAGGTAGAGAAATAGAAATTAAGTTTTAATTTTCAAGTAGCATTTGTTAGGTTGAAAAAATAATGGAAATGGTTTCTCTTTCTTTATAGCAACAATTATGTATCAATGTGGTTCCTGGGGATAATTTTTCGGAGAGTAGAAAATGCAGAAAGTGTTAACATAGACTTGACATATGATATACAGTCATTTACTGATACAGGTAAGACTTTTTACTCATGGGGCTGTGATTCTCAACTATGGCTGTAACTCAGTACCATCTGTTTAGGGTCTAGCTGGAGATATTTTTTATTCCCGATTTGGTTAAATTAACCCATATTGTAGACACTGATGCAGCTTTGGAAAAAGGGAAAAGAATGATGAGACACATAATAAGGGCATTGCAGAATAATGGATAGAGTGCTACTACCATTTATTTGCAAAAAGAGACATACTTACAAATGCAGAGGACATCTCTGGCAGGTTTTTGTTTTTGTTTTGTTTTGTTTTGTTTTAAAGGCACTGCTTGTTGCTTCTTAGTCTGGGAACCAGCAACTGTGCCCAAGGGACAGAGCTGAGGAGACTCCCTAGGTACTCCTAAATCACTTAAGTTTTGTACCATCTTAATGTATTTTCTATTTTAAAATTAAACTCCACAGGTGACTTTCCTGTGGGTTCAGAGTTTATAATCACAGTCCATGAGAATGAATTGATTTTTATGTTTTTCATGTTAAATAATCATCAGTAGATACAGATTTGCTGAATATGTTCCAAGATCAATAGAAAAAAAAAAATGTTCATCATATCTAGCCGCAGCCACATCTCTGGAGTATCTGTTATAGACTGGGCTAGTGTTGATCTGGAGCACTATGCATGTTCATGTTGTTACTGTTCTTGGCACATAGGTGTTTTCTAAATTCTTTTAGCTAGTCCTCATGTGTATCATGGTAATATAGATTCTTACGCTTCAACTTCAGACTACTAAATCACATTCTGAGGAAGGAGCCAGAGAATCTGCAATTTGTACAAGTACTCCTGATGATCATAAGAATCTAGAATGAAATTATGAATACAAATTAGGGATCAGATGTCTTAAAAAGAGAAAACTGAGATACTCATTTGTTAGATTTTTAGAATATTCTTTTCCACACATAGACACTCTAGGTCCCACAGTATTGAATAATGTGCCACATTTCATAGCATTTGCAGTGCAAAACAACCCTCCTGCCTCTGTCTTCAGTGGACTTAAAATCTAATTGGCTAGACACAGAATACCTTAATTAGTATGGTAATACAACTGGTCTTCACAAGCTGTGAAAAGCACTTAGAACAGAAATCTAGAGCCATATGTCCCCTGAGGCAGTCAACGTGTTCCAGGCTTTCTGAGACAAATTTTTCCACCTATACACTACAGATAGACTTGCAGATGGCCTCTGAACTGCGATGTTCTGTATCTGATGTGGGCTACGATACTGAAGTAGTCTCAGGCTAGAGGGAGTACTTGAATTGCCTTTGGATATTTGATACAAGAATTATCCTAGGTGGCTGCAGAGACGACTTCGAGGTTCAGAGTGCTGGCTTCTGTCCAGACGGCCAAGGCCGGGTTCCCCAGCGCCCACATGGAGGCTTACAACTACCGCCTTTAACTCCAGTCCCAGAGAACCCAGTACTCTCTTCTGACCTCGGCAGGCACCAGGCAGGCACATGGCACACGGACATACATGCAGGCAAAACACCTATACATGCATAATAAGAAAAAGAATTATCTTAGATTCAGACAAGTAATTATGAGGAGAGATTGCCATTTTGAGAATAGCAAAGAACAAGATTTGGAAAAAAAATATTTTGCTGTATATTTATTTTGTTCATGAGGGCTTAATAAAAATAAGAAAGCACCGGGCAGTGGTGGTACATGCCTTTAATCCCAGCACTTGAGAGGCAGAGCCATGCAGATCTCTGTGAGTCCGAAGCCAGCCTGCTCTACAGAGCGAGATCCAGGATAGCCAGGACTATTACACAGAGAAACCTTGTATCAAAAAACCAAATAAAGAAAGAAAGAGGGAGAGAGAGAAAGAAAGCTTTTAGAAGATAGACACACAGAACCAGTCAATCCTTAAACACTACTGTGACACAGTGGCAGTATTGTAGAGATATTTGTTCATAAGAGGGTGTGTGCTTAATGGGTGGTAAGGGGTCTATACATTTCCAAAAAGGAAAACAGCTTGGGGTTCAGAAAGAAATGTCCATTTAACATATTAACATTGTTACAGTGTACAGACAAGCAAACAATATAAACATGCTAAAGGATGGAATGAAAATTGAAGCCACTCATGTAAAGAAAAAACAACTTCATCATTACCTACCCGCAGAGATTCTTCAAAAGAAGAAAAAGGTGGGTCTGTAGTCCTAATTCTCTAGTATTGTTCCACTGGGAAAGAGGGTGTAGACAGTCGGTCTGAAATCTCACCTTAAAATGGTGACAAGTTGCTTTTGTGTGCATCATAATATTCTCATTTGCTTTTGAAGTCCTAATAGTGTCTCTCTCTCTGGCAGAGCCTTTCTGATGTAAGCCGGAATTCAGGTGGCCTTCAGTCCAAAAGATCATCCCTGGATAGCAGTTGTCTGGATAGCTCCAGGGACACCGATAGTGGAACACCTTTTAATTCGCCCATGTCTACAAATAAGCCTTCCAACCCAAACAGCCCCTCAGGAGAAGCAGAAAGGTGTGCGTCCAAACTGTCCTTGAAGGCTGTTTTTGGAGGATGATGAGAACTTTCTGTACCTTTCCTAAAAGATCTATTTTCATTGTTAAAAGAGTTTTCTCTTGCCGGGCGGTGGTGGCGCATGCCTTTAATCCCAGCACTCGGGAGGCAGAGACAGGCGGATCTCTGTGAGTTCGAGGCCAGTCTGGTCTACAGAGTGAGTTCCAGGAAAGGCTCAAAGCTACACAGAGAAACCCTGTCTCGAAAAACCAAAAAAAAAGAGTTTTCTCTTACTAGCTACTAGTGTCTTGTTTAGGAATACAGTGTGTGTAGTGCTGCCGGGGTTGTTCCAGGATCAAGGGCCCATGGAATTGTGCAAGTTTTCTACTCAGATTTTATTTTCTTCAGTTATCTGACTTTTTCTGTTCTTCTAGTAAAGTTGAAATACTAGAAAGAAGTAATCCTGAATGTTAAAGTGAGAGCTTTTAAAATCAGTAATAGTGAAAAAAATTAATAATGATAATTTTATACTTTTACTAGGAATAGTACTGAGCCTGCCACTGTAATTGTGGAGAAGCTGCCAAGTGCCCCTCCAGCTCAAGGGCTATCTATTCCAGTCATTGGTGCAAGTAGGTATCCAAACTCGGTTATTACTGACAATTCTGCTACCTAACTATTGGATTACTGAAATTGTTTTGTACTTTTCAGAGGCTGACCCTACAGTCAAAGCCGCGTCCTCCCCATCGGGATGCACCATCCCTACTCTAGTGGGACGGAATGTCGTTCCTAGAGTCCCAACGCCCCACAGCGCTGTCCAGGGACAGCCACAGCCAAACGGACTGTCTAATATCAGTAAGAACGTCACACCCAAAAGATCCCATTCGCCACCTACAGATGGGACTTCTAAGAGGTTGAAAGACATAGAAAAGGTAAAGCTAGGACTTTAATAGTGGTCACTCATTGGTTTTTTGTTTTTTTTTAAGTTCAAATAATAGTAAAGAAGCTGACAATTCTCCTTAACTATGTAAGTTTTCCACTGGGAGTTGTTCTGTCTAAAAAGAATATTTCAAACTCTTCAGGAACAATATTTGTTGTTCATCTTAACTTCAAATTATTGATGTCTGAAAGCTTACTTGATTGGTTTAAGTTTCTTGACTTACACAAAAGTTAAGGAGACTAGATGTAAATGTGGTGTTTTTTCCCGTTATGTGGATCTTCTTAGCTTCCAGCAGATGGTAATAAAATATTTTGTTAGAATCTGAATTGATTTAACCAAAAAGATCACTTAAGGTGCAGAAATTAAGGGTAGCACTTGAATTCAATCTAATTTTAGTTGTAGTTAATTGAAGTCATTAATTAAATTGTCATTTTCAATGATAGACGGATTAATCTCCTGATTTATAATGATATGTATGGTCTTTGCAGTTATATAATAGCCACTCATTTTTATTGTTTATGTCTTAGTTTATTCGACTTGAGTCAGCATTTAAGGACCCCCATGCTGCCGGGGATAGGAAGAGAAAACCAATGGTAAGTATGTTAACGCTGCATTCAGACTGTGGGCTCAGAGAGCAGCAGGCTGTAAAAAGTACCGTAGGAGGTATTTCAGAGTCACCACTTTTTGGTAGGAATAGTGTTGTAAATGGTAAGAAGATTTAAACCTGTATTTTTAATTCTTTTATTTTTAGGATGCCATTGGTGGAGAATCTATGCCCATTCCAACTATTGATACATCACGCAAAAAGGTAATAGGTTACGGTAATAGTTCTATAGGTAAAAACAAGTACAGAAAAACTTAAACTAAAATAAATCCAAGTATTTAGAAGTCTAAGGCAGGATTGCTTCAAGTTCAAAACTAGCTTAAGCTACAGAGTAAAACCCTGTCTCAAAGAAACAAAACCTAGGGCCAGGAAAGGGTGTGATTATGTCCCCGTTGTCAGCGACCAGCAGCGCGGTTGGGGTTAGGACCGGAGATGACAGATAGTGTACGGTTCTGAGTGGACATTCCTCAAGAGTCCAGAAGAGGACATAGTTAGGAAGACCGTGGGACCTACTTAGATTTCAGTCTATTTTAGTCTCTGTCAGCGGTTGGTTGCTCAGCACAGGAGTTTCTTACTAATGCCAAAGATGATAGCTTTTGTTATTTATATACACTGCTTTCAGAATTGAAGTTACTAGAAATCAAATACATTAAGCATGGAAAGCTATTGAGCAAGTGTTAGAAAGGAGCTTTGTATAGATGATGGAAAGCCCTTCCCTGAGAGTGTGCAGAACAGATGGCTTCTTTTCTCAAACCCTCCACCGAGGAACTGCTTCCCTGTCGTCAGTTCTTACTATGTCAGGACTTTGGGAAGTAAAGTAGTATCTTCACAGGCAATTTTACTCACACAACTCACACTGCAAGAATGCATCACAAAATTATATACTAAATACGATAATGGATGGGAAATATTGGGATGAATATTAAAATATAAAAATGAATGGCATGATTATGTTTTAAGATATTTCAGGTAGAGCTAGGGCTGGTGGTACATGCTTTAATCCCAGCACTCAGGAAGCAGAGGCAGGTAGATGTCTGAATTCCAGGAAAGCCAGAGCTACATAGACAAACCTGTGTCAAAACAAAAACAAAACAAAAACTAAGTATAAAGGATAAGTGAGTAGAATTGTCTAGTGTCTGAAGTTTGGCTATGCTATATAAATCTTCATTGTCCTATTCTCTATGTATGTCTGAACTTTTTACCCATTCATTTACTTATTTATGGTGCTGGGGGTTAAACTCAGAACCTCATGCATGCCACACAAGTGATCTACCACTGACCACACCCTTTGCATTTAACTATTGACAAGTTGTATATTGTTTCTATCACACAAAAACTAATTGAGGGACCTAACTCTCAGGCACCAGACTTTGCTGTGTAATACTCCTTTTTACTTGACATTCTTAAGACTTTGCTCTTCAGTCACCATGCACTTTCTATTGCTCAGTGTCCTTGCTCAGCGTTAGGGAGGGTAGAGCTCTTTATACATTTCTAGTGGTGATTGAGTTAATGAAGTCCTCTTTTCCAGAGCCCTCCTCACATTGCTGCCACGTCTACTTTCCCTACTCAGTTTTGACTGTGGGAAAAAAAGACCCAAGAGTGAAAAGTACTTAGAATAAGCAGGGAAGGAGCTATTGAGAACACCTGTGAATGTTAGGGTGCAGGGCTTTGGAGAAATAGTCCAAGAAGAGTCTGATGGTTGATTATTAGATGAGCCATTATAGGGGAGCGGTGTACATGTATGTATGTACATACACACTTTTTTGTGTGTGTGTCTTTCTTTCAACAGAGACTACCCAGTAAAGAACTGCCAGATTCGTCATCTCCAGTTCCAGCCAGCACCATTCGTGTCATCAAAAACTCCATCCGACTGACCCTCAACCGGTAATCGCAGTGCCTCTTCCTGAGGTGAACTGCAGTCACACAGTGGCCTAGATGGCGTGGCAGTCAGTCAGCAGCCTGACGACCTTGGAGTGGTTCCTGACCTCTCATTCGACCTTGACGTGCTGTGGCATCCTCTCACTGACTGCTGCACATGCTCTGAGGACCACCTGCTAGTACATTGTCACCTACCCTATTATGGCTTTGCATTTGGAGGTTTTACTGCCTTAACTTTGATGTTTGTTTCTCTGTCATGGGAACCAGTTCTTGGCCACTTGGACTCTGATAAAACAAGTCCTGAATTGTTTTTTTCTTTTTTTAAGTCTTATGTCGTAATCATTGTATAGAGCTGGAAAAGTTTAAAAAAACAACAAAAAAAAACCCTGTCCTGTAATTTTCTAAATGTTTATGTGTTGACTTGAAGCCACTTTGTAAAACCCAAGAGTAATGAATGTGAGGTATCTTTTCTGCTTCCTTCATTTGTGTAGATGTCTATTTTGTTAATTTAAATTATTTTTTCCAGATTGGCACATAAATATTTCAACTATTTTTGTGCTTTTGTCCAGATGTTACATAGTTAGTTACCAGGGAGGACTAGTCCAGTGACTACACCAGAGTTGGGCACCACACATTCTCTATATTTGCCTCCCATGGAGGCCTTCAAAGTTCATCTTTATTAAAAATCAAACTATAACCAGGATACTGAAAGTCAGTATATGAATGGTGAAATTGTTACATATCTTACTATCTCATGACATTCTTGTTTAGCTGATTGGTATTTTTTACAAAGGAAGAATTCATCCCACCATCAATGATAAGACTCATTTAAGTATGGCAGACTTGTATTTTTGAAGTATAAAATTAACTCAGCATGGTAATCCCTCACCATAACTTCCAACAGTCTCTTCATGGATTAGGCATGCGGAATAAGCAGTGGATTTTATTGAAACCTCAAGGCATTTTTGAATGACATTGTTACCGACCATTAATTGGCTCAGGACCTTTGTAGTTTTTATTTAACTATATGAGTTGTCTTTTTTTACACTGCTTTTTTCAGTGCATTTCTTAATATTTTTTAAGTTTCATGAATGCATGCTCAGTTTATTAAAAATCCACAACCATGTAATTCTTGTAATCTGTTGACTCCGTGTTTTGTAAATGAAGTCGTATGTATTTTCAGAGTATTTTTGTATGTACTGTAAGATATCATCTTTTCAAAGAGAAACTTTAAAACCTTTACTGTCTGTCTTTAATTTTTTAAATACACTTAATTAATACATTTAAAATGAAACTCAGAAGCACAGCCAGATGCATACCACCTTCTTGAGCTCTCACTCAGCTGTGGAGTAGGTCCAGAAGGGGGCAGTACATTTGAGTAGTGCCGGGGAAATAACCTGGCCGTGGTTTTCATAGGACACATGGGAAGCCATATAGTCAGTGGAGAAGGAGCAGTCCATTTTCACTTGCAAACCCTTTACCACTAATTTTAAATCCTTAAGTTGAGGTGGTCAGAGTGCTGTGTCCTCCCTCTCCCGTTCTGATCCACGGGGGGTCTGAAAGGCAAGTTCTAGCGTCTGACGTACACAGTAAAGAGCAAGAGATGAAGAAGAAGGGTTGTTCCGCTCTCAGGTTCGGTATCAAAGGCCAGGAGGAGTTGCAGCTTCCTTGGCAAAGCCATTTTCATAGTTAACCTTTTCTGAATTTAAATGTTTGGGATTTGTTCTATAAATATGCAAAAATGAATGATTATAAAAGGACTGACACCTGACCTTGAACCTAGAAAAATTATTTGATGGGGGATTTAATTAAATCTTATTCTGAGAAAGAACAAGCCTGGCCCTGGTTATATAGTTTTTTCTCTTAGGCTAAGGGTCCATTCAGCATGGTCAATGGTTCAGCATCAGGGTTTACAAATAGGGACTTCATCAGCTTGTCTGACAACTGAGGAATCAGTTAGATGGGTCTTGATAACAGTGGGTTCCTTCAAAGGTTAAAGAGCTTCCTGTCCTGACTGGTAGCGGGGACTTTTGGTACATTCCATTACCACAGTAGGGGGTGCTCTCTGTCAGACTGGTTCCCAGTAAATAAAAACATTTGGATTTCTGTGGGCCTCTCTAGCACTTTGCTTCTTCCTATTCTCATGTGGTCTTCATTTACCATGGTCTCCTATTCCTTGTTCTCCCTCTCTGTTGTTGATCCAGCTGGGATCTCCCGCTCCCCCAAGCCCTCTTTCCCTCGACCCTTGCCTTTCATTACCCCCACTCATGTCCAGGCTGTTCATGTAGATCTCATTCCATTTCTCTGTCATTGGGCGATCCCCGTGTCTTTCTTGGGGTCCTGTTTTCCAGGTAGCCTCCCTGGTGATGTGAGTAGCAGTCCAGTCATCCTTGTTCCACATCTAGTATCCTCCTATGAGTGAGTACATACCATGTTTGTCTTTCTGAGTCTGGGTTACCTCACTCAGGATGATTTTTTCTAGATCCATCCATTTGTCTGCAAACCTCATGATGTCATTGTTTTTCTCTGCTGAGTAGTATTCCATTGTGTATATGTACCACATTTTATTTATCCATTCTTCAGTTGAAGGGCATCTAGGTTGTTTCCATGTTCTGGCTATTACAAACAATGCTGATATGAACATAGCTGAACACGTGCTCTTGTGGTATGATTGAGCATTCCTTGGGTATATGCCCAAGAGTGGTATAGCTGGATCTTGGGGGAGATGGATTCTCAATTTTCTAAGAAAGCGCCATATTGATTTCCAAAGTGGTTGTACAAGCTTGCATTCCCACCAGCAGTGGAGGAGAGTTCCCCTAGCTCCACATCCTCTCCAGCATAAGCTGTCTTCAGTGTTTTTGATCTTAGCCATTCTGACAGGCGTAAGGTGGTATCTCAGAGTTGTTTTGATTTGCATTTCCCTGATGATTAGGGATGTTGAGCAATTCCTTAAATGTCTTTCAGCCATTTGAGTTTCCTCTGTTGAGAATTCTCTGTTTAGTTCTATAGCCCATTTCTTAATTGGACTGTTGGGCATTTTGATGTCTAATTTCTTGAGTTCCTTATATATTCTGGATATCAGTCCTCTGTCAGATGTGGGGTTGGTGAAGACCTTTTCCCATTCTGTAGGCTGTCGCTTTGCCTTGTTGACCGTATCCTTTGCTCTACAAAAGCTTCTCAGTTTCAAGAGGTTCCATTGATTGATTGTTTCTCTCAGTGTCTGTGCTACTGGTGTTCTATTTAGGAAGTGATCTCCTATGCCAATGCATTCAAGACTACTTCCTACTTTCTCTTCTAGCAGGTTCAGAGTAGCTGGATTTATGTTGAAGTCCTTGATCCACTTGGACTTAAGTTTTGTGCACGGTGATAGACATGGATCTATTTGCAGCCTTCTACACGTTGATATCCAGTTATGCCAGCACCATTTGTTGAAGATGCTTTCTTTTTTCCATTGTGCACTTTTGGCTTCTTTGTCAAAAATTATATGTTCATAGGTGTGAGGCCCATAGAAATCCACAAAGATACCCCCACAACAGACTGCTGGCAGTGGTCGAGAGACAGCCCGAACTGACCTACTCTGGTGATGGGATGGCCAAACACCCTAATTGTCGTGCTAGAAACCCCATCCAACTACTGAGGGATCTGGATGCAGAGATCCATGGCTAGGCCCCGGGTGGATCTCTGAGAGTCCAATTAGCGAGAATGAGGAGGGTTTATATGAGCGAGAATTGTTGAGACCAAGGTTGGAGTAAGCACAGGGACAAATAGCCAAACAAATGGAAACACATGAACTATGAACCAATGGCTGAGGGGTCACCAACTGGATCAGGCCCTCTGAATAGGTGAGACAGTTGATTGGCTTGATCTGTTTGGGAGGCACCCAAGCAGTGGGACCGGGTCCTGTGCTCATTGCATGAGTTGGCTGTTTGAAACCTGGGGCCTATGCAGGGTCGCTTGGCTCAGCCTGGGAGGAGGGGACTGGACCCACCTGGACTGAGTCTACCAGGTTGATCTCAGTCCGCGGGGGAGGCTTTGCCCTGGAGGAGATGGGAATGGGGGGTGGGCTGGGGGGAAGGTGAGGGGGCCCGGAGGGGGGAGAACAAGGGAATCCGTGGCGGTTAGGTAGAACTGAATTGTACTTCAAAATAAAAATAAAATAATAATAATACTCAAAAAAAATAAAATAAAAACATTTGGGATTCAGTGTTATGCTTGCTGTCTCTTTTCAAGTGTGTAACTATAGCTAGAAATGTATTTATAACCTCCAGCCTCTAGACGCAGGTTCATTTTCCTAAGGTACTAGACTTTCTTCAGTGACTAGCTCTGGAGACTAACAAAGGAAAACAGGTACCTAGGAGTTTCAACTCTGAGAATTTAACCAATTTGAGGTAGAAAGTACTTGGTTTAACACCTTGTGAAACTGGGGAGAATAATACATTTTTAAAGTTTTTTATTTTTCATTTTTCGAGACAGTTTCTCTGTGTAGCTTTGGAGCCTTTCCTGGATCTTGCTCTATAGACCAGGCTGGCCTTGAGCTCGCAGAGATCCGCCTGCCTCTGCCTCCCGAGTGCTGGGATTAAAGGCGTGCGCCACCACCGCCCAGCTTTTAAAGTTTATTGATGCTTAAGACTAATTTTGTCTAAAGATAGCCACTCAGTGTTGGTAAAACGCTTACTAGTTAGCAGATAGCTGAAAATGGACAGGATCAAGTGGGCCAAGTCTTTTTTTCTGCAGCACCCCCAAGATCTGTCTCACTTTGTAACCCTGGCTGGCCTGACACCTGCTGTGTAGGCCATGCTGCCTTACAGTGTGGGGGGACCCTCCCTCCTCAGCACCACACCTGCTTGTCCCTTGGTTTTGAAATAGCAATTTCTAGCTTGAGAGTCAAGAGTATCTGAGAACCCTTTGGAATTGTGTAAAAGATGCTTTTTGTTTGTTTTTCTCGTCAAGGGAAGGTAGTGTTCATTGGTTTCTCAGAATAGTTCATGCCCCACAAAGGAGGCAGAGGGTGGGACCACCAGGGTCGAACAGTCCTAGAATATTTATAATTTACTCCATTTGATTTTGCTGCAGTAGATTTCTGAATGCAGTGTGGCTCTTAACTAATAAAAGGGGCTGGTGAGGACCTCACAAACACTGTATTTCTTAGGTACTTTATATATTTTGGGTGAAAATGTGGTTGGTATTTAGAAAAATGTTTACCATCAACTTTTCCATGTTATTAAGGTCACTCAAAATTCACTAGCTTAGAATGATCCTTAAAAATGATAGAAAGAGTGAAAATCTGAATCCTTGAGTTCTATAGCATGAAAGTTTTCACTTGCTCCTCTGAACTCACTGAACATACCAATAAATATAAATGCTTTAGTTTTTTAACATATGTATTTTTATAAACAAATTTGTTTAAATAAATTACTACCTAATAAATCATACAAAGATTAGAATTTGTGCAAATGATCAAAGGAAATCAGACTCTAATAACAACTATTTCCTTAGGATTTTCTAAGGGGATTATATGAGGTCATATACTTTCCAATTTCTCTATTTTAGAAATAATCTAATAATTTTATATTTGAAATTAATTGAACACAAGATTATCAAATATGTTAAAAAATTTTAAAGACTTATTTTTGTTTATGTGAGTGTGGGTGTGTTAATGTACATGTGAGTGCAGTGCCTACAGAGCCAAGAAGAGGGTGTCCTGAAGATCCCCTGAAGGTAAAGGCTGCTGTGAGCTTCCCAACATGGGTGCTGGGAACCAAGCTTGGGCCTCTGGAACTGCAGCGGGCGGTCCTCACTGCTGAGCCGTCTCTGGAGCCTCTGAATTTGTTACAATTTTAAACTATCGCCAGATTTTCAAAAAGACCCATAGAGAGTGTCTTTGATGGCAACGGTGCTAGGTCACACCATGGTGTTCTGTGAAATGACTGCGGCTGCTGTCCCTTCTAGATAGCTGTGGTGTATGTTAATTTTGTCCTGTTTTATACTTGTACACATGAGCTTCATTTGTCTGGAGTAAGTAATCAAATAAACTTACTTTGATAAATGGGTGATGTTTGGGTAATATTATTTGGGAGTATTTCAGAAGTGCAAGAAAACTACATAGTTGTTTCTCAAATTGACAATCAATTTAGTCATTTAAGACTCAAGTTGCCTGTGATAGAAAATGGCATCTACTAGCTACTTATTAAGAAAGCACAGCTCAGACTCATTTGCCTCCTACACAATCACTTATTTATT